TGGCGGGAAATGGGGGATGCTCCCACAGCGGTCCTTTGGGTAGGGGCGCACAGAGAGGTCACAGGCAGGGCCAGGGTGGAGACGGTGCCGCCTGCAGGGGCCGGACAAGGGACGGAGAGCAGGCTGTGGCCTCAGCGGTCCCCAGGTTAAAGGGGATGGGTGCTTGGAGCCACAGGACCCTGGCCCTGCCTCAGTGGCTCGCCTGCTTGAGGTGTGGGCCAGGGTCCTGTCCTGGGGGTTTGTGAGTCTCGGTAGTTTTGGGGGGAGGAGAGGAGGGTCAGACTCTGAATTGGAAAGAGAGGTTTCTTAGCAAGAAAGGTGGCAGCCGGTGGGTGAAGGGGAGGGAGGGTCGTGCATTGGGGGGTCAGGGTCCCTGCAGGTGCCCAGCTGTGCCCCGACGTGGCCTCTGATGACCCGTGAGACCAGTGTGCGTGGCTGACGTCGCCTCCCGCGGGGACGGGCATCGCTCCCGGTGGCACCCAGGGGCCTGACTCTGCGTCCCCTGCAGATGCGCAGCACGCGGAGGGTGTCCGTGTGGCCCGTGGCCTTCGTCGGGGGCCTGCGGTACGAGGCCCCGCGGGTCAACGCGGCCGGGAAGGTGGTCGGCTGGAAGACGGTGTTCGACCCCCACCGGCCTTTTGCCATAGACATGGCCGGGTTCGCCGTCAACCTGCGGCTCATCCTGCAGCGCAGCCAGGCCTACTTCAAGCTGCGCGGCGTGAAGGGCGGCTACCAGGAGAGCAGCCTCCTCCGGGAGCTGGTCACCCTCAGCGACCTGGAGCCCAAGGCCGCCAACTGCACCAAGGTACGGCCCGGGGAACCACGGCCCTGATGCGGGGTTCCCGCGCCCCGCCAAACCCTCCCTGCAGGTCGGGGATGGGAAATAGGCCTGGCAACAGCTTTGCCAGGAAGAGCCAGCCTAGAGCCGCGCCTTCCGAGAACACTGGCCCCGAAGGCAGTTTGTCACCCATGCGGCAGCCACACTGCTGTCCAGCAGGAGATGGGGAGGGTGGTGACCGGTGAGGCCCAGCCAGGCGTGTCCCCTCCCTCACCTCAGAAGAGTTGGGCCTCACGGCCTCCCTGCGATGACATGTTCATGTGTGCACACGTGGACAAACGCATGTGCACGCACACACACGCACACGCACAGGCACATGCACTTCCTAGTTTGAGCTTCTGCAGTGAGGGCCTGGGCGGTCACCTGGCTGAGCTGAAGGCTCCTGAACAACCTTCTCCCTCTCCAGGGAGCCCTGGGCTGTGTGGCTCAGTGGGTTGAAGGTCGTCCCGTGCACTGAAAGGTCGCCGGTTTGATTCCCGGTCAGGGCACATGCCCAGGGTGCAGCTCAGTCCCTGGTCAGGGTGCATGCAGGAGGCAGCCGACCGATGATTCTCTCTAAAATCAATAAAGACAGTATTTATTTTTAAAAAAGGAAATGCAGGAGAGAATAAGAAGCAGGAGGAATCTTCCGGTTTATCTGTCTATTTTTTCTGTAGTTGTGCACACTCTGTTCCCAACAGCTATTTTGAATGCACCCTCTGTACAAACAGCAAGAGGGAGGCGTCGGTAGAAATAAAGTACATTGGAGAACGTCCTGATGGAACGGGGGCAGAACGGGAGGGGCAGGGGCTATACTTGCAGGGTCTGGGCGGGAGCAGGAGGTGGCAGGGGGAGGCCAGGGGGCCTGTTCCATGCTGTCTCCTCTGGACACGCAGATCCTGGTCTGGCACACGCGGACGGAGAAGCCCGTGCTGGTGAACGAGGGCAAAAAGGGCTTTACGGACCCCACGGTGGAGATCTGAGCCCCGGGACGCAGGTACGGCTGGCCGAGGGCCGCGGCGCACGGGACAGGCCCATACCCAGCGTGGACCCAGAATCCATCTGCTAAGACTTCCTCTCGGTCTTCCATTGTGGGAGGACAGGGAAATGCCAGCATGAGGGGAAGAGGCCGAGCTGGTGTCCCCTGGCCCTTTCCTCCCCTTCCCCTTCCCCTCCCCCTTGCCCTGTCTGGAAATTAGCGAGAGCCAGCCTCTCCCACACAGCTGGGCCCTCTCGCCACCCTTGGGGGGGCCTCTCCTTCCAGACGTTGCCTGGTCACCACCATTATTCCGGTCATGACACCTGTCCCATAGCAGGCACTGCCGTGCGCTCGCTCCAGGCTCTTTCTGTGGCTTCCTCTTTGCCGCCGTGACAAGGACCCTCACCACTGCTTTCCCCTCATCGCACATGCCCAGGTGTCCCCCAGTCGTGACCGTGGGGGGCAGGGGGGTGGGGGCGGTGCCATGGTGAAACCTGGGGCCCAGAGCCTGGATCAGCGCCTGGCCTACCACTTTCACGGTTTCACCTTCCTTGCTCCAGGCTTCCGTTTCTGCATCTGTGAAATGGGTTGTTGGGGGCCCCAAGAGCAGACTCCGGCACGTTCTACGTCCTCTGTAGGCGTTGCTGTTGCTGTTTCAGTCTTTAACGTCCTCTCTGGATGTGGGCCTCGGGGTCTGCCTACATTTCAGAGGCAAAGGGATAATGTGCGGGAAAAGCTCCATGAGATGAACTGGGCCGGGTGACTGGTCACGCCAGGAACCTCCTCTGGGCGTGTGTTTCTAGGATGTCATCCCGGAGGCGGGAGCTGACAATGGACACAGCTGGACGCCAGCCCGGAGTTCAGTGTCAGCTTCTGTGTCACATTTGCAAGTCCCCTGTGCATCGGGGACCCCAGGGTGTCATCTGCCTGTTTTGTCCCCCGAACTTAAGACATCAGCTGGGCCAGTGCCGCCGAGAGCCATCAGTACAGAGCCCAGCTCCCTGCCTCCTGCCCTCACACGCCTCACCGCAAGGGTGCCACGGAGGACCTGGCCGCTGGGCCAGGCGGCTCCCCAGTGAGGCCTGTTGGGGGCTAAGAGTTGAGTCGCCTGGCCACACTGGCCGCTCAGACACCCGCCTCACTCATGGCTCCTCCCCCCCTTCACAGGAGCCTCTTCTCACACCCTGATCCTGCCTTCCATCCTCTCCCCGTGGCTGACGGTCCTCCAAGGCAAACTCCGAACGAATGGCCACCAGCCTCCTTTCTATCCTGGGGCGTCAGAGAGCCCAGCCTGAGGCCAGGACCAAGGACGGAGAGCCTAAAGCACAGAAACCCCAGACGTGTCGTTCCCTTCCACCCAGCGCGGCAGGGCCCCGCTGCCAGCCCGGCCCCCGCCCTCCTCCCCGGAGGTTCTTACACCCCAGGCTCAAGTGATGCCAGACAGCGGGGCGTCGGAAAAGACTCGGCGGTCACGTGGAGGTGGCCCTCCTGGCTCCCTGCTCCTGGGTCCAGCATAGCCACACAGGCCAGCCGGGCAGAGGATTCTGAACACCATCCAGCAGGCCCTGCCCGGGCACCAGGAGCACCCGCCCCTCCTCGGAGAGTTGCTCCCAAGTACACGTGTCTCTGTGGCTGTTCTCTAGTCCCTGTCTCCAGAGCATAAGTCCGTCTTTGATCCCAGCAGCGGTCAGCCCTGCAGGAGGGAGCAGGCCTAGCCCCCAGGCTCCCCCGTGCCCCGGGCTGTGGTGGGAAAGGAGCTCCTTCCTCCCCACCCGCCCCCCAGGCCCCTCAACCCTGCAGCACAGAGAAGCAGATGGGCCTCAAGCCAGCACAGGCCACGGGTTGGCCTGGACCACGACCACATGGGCCCGTCCCCCACGCTGCCACCCCCACGCCCACTGGGCGCCAGGGACCTTTGCCTGGGCCAGGACGGGGAGGGCAGGAGCCCTCTTCCTGAAGCCTTGAGAGCCACAGACCTCAGGGGCAGAGAGGTGGGGGCAATTCCAAGCCTCCTTCCTGCCCCTGGTTTGGGGGCAGGAGGGGGACTGTGTTAGCAGAGATATTTCTGGGAAGGGACCGAGATCATTTGGACACAGAGGGGAAAGGATACTCGAGCACACACGACGTTGGAAATCATTCTATTTTAAACACAACGTGGGAAAGAAAAATCTCCCTTCTCCCCAGGTGGGGAGCCTGCAGAGCGAGCCGCCCGAGAACGGTGCATGCGCTGGCAGCTCCCCCCGCCAGGGGGCGTGTGTCCGGCTCTCCCGCCGCCGGACGGGCCCCTAGCTTTCTGGCCAGGGACAGCGCCCTCTGGCGGCGACCCCACTCCTCCTGCTCCTGAAAGTCGGAAGCACAATTTTCCTCCCGCGCGGAGGGAAAAGGAAAGGCTTGAGCCTACGGAAGGGGTGTTTATTTTTTAACCGCTAACACTTCATTTAAACTCACAGGACCGGTCTGAGGACCACAGAGAACCCACTCTTGGAGGAGGGGGTCATGGGGGGAGGGGAGGGAATTGGACTTAGTCCAGCAACCTAAACATTCAAAAAATATAGCATCGGTTGCCTGTTTGGAAACAGACGCAATTTTCCACGTAGTCATGAGCCCACCCAATGGGATCTTATCCCTGGGAACCCCGAGCCACCTTGTAGGGCATCCCCCCAACCTCTTACATGTTCAGTGGTTGCTTTGGAAATCAAGCTTTCGGCATCACGTGGCGTGGTGTGGGAGAGAAGGGACGAGGTGGGCACAGGCGGCCGTCAAATGCGTGAATCCAGGCCCAGGCATTCCACTGCCCCCCAGCCCGGTGCTCAGGTGAGCTTGGCTAGTCTACGGCTACCTTCTCAGCCAAAAACAAAACAAAAACAAAATGAAACACCAAAAAACCCCAGAAACAACCCAGGGCTCATCTTCAGGAAATTGATACGGAACAGAACGAGGCATTTTCCCTTGCTCCCTCTCCTGTATTACTTTGTTTGGCAGGACTGAGTTGTTTCGCCCCACGTCCTCTAGTACAGTGGGGCCTTGACTTACGAGTTTAATTCGTTCCGTGACGGAGCTCGTAACTCAAATTACTCGTACGTCAAATCAAAGAGTGAACGAGTGAGACACGTGATGCTGGGCTGATGTTGTGGCGTTCACTGTGACGTTCGCTGCGCCAACTAGTGGTGGGGTATCTGGAGCTGGCTCATGACCTGAATTTTAGCTCTCAACTCAAAGCAAAAAATCGGCCGAGAGAGAGAGCGAGAGAGAGAGAGAGAGAGAGAGAGAGAGAGAGACGGCTCGTATCTCGACAAACTCGTTAGTCGGGACACTCGTAAGTCAAGGCCCCACTGTAGCTGCATGTGGGTTTATGTATCACTGTAGTCCTGGAGGACTGCAGCTTCCTTCTTTGCTGGGGATGAGTTTGTGATGAATCAGAATGTGGTCCAGGACTATACCGTTTGCTTTCCACACTTCCCACCACAGAGGCGTGAGGCTGGGGGGCTGGGCGTCCCCAACAGAGATGGTGGGGGGCGGAGCCCGGGGCAGCCACACCCTCGGGTCTGTTTTCATTAACTGTCGTTCATCTGTTTTTAAAATTAAAAGTCAGATACGGTTTTTAACATCCCTAACCCTCCTCGGCCCGGCTTGGTTGCGTTACCCTGGGTTGCTTGAACCCTCCACCGAATGAGTATCTGCCAGGTGCCTACAACGGGCTGCATTATTCCAGGAGCCAGCACCAGTCTTCACGGAGGTCCCCTCCTCACGAGGGGACGCGGGTGGACAGCATTTCAGATGCGATCTGGTCTGAGGACAAGCATGAGGCCGAGTGGGGGGCACAGAGGGCCGCTGTGGGGGAGACCTGAGCCCCACCCAGGGTGGTCAGAAAGGCCCCCCAGATAAGGTGACACCTGAGCAGAAGAGCAGCATGCAGACGTGCCATTGTCTGGCCAGAGCCTTCCAGAACAGAGACCTCTGTGCCTGGTAGGAGAGAGCTTAGCGAGTTTAAAAACCAGCAACAAAGCCAGCGTGACGGGAACCGACTGGGAAGGTGGGAAGGGTCGGTGGTGGGAGTTGGGACGGGCAGGACCTGTTGGTTGGTCCTGGGGGCCCGGGTGACGTTTTTGGCTTCTACTGTGAATGAAGGGGGAAGCCACTGGAGGGTCTGGAGCAGAGGACAGACATGGCCTAATGGCCTTTTAGAAGAATCGCTCCACGTCTGTGCTGACGAGAAGCAGAGAAGTGAGGGCGGGCTGGGGGAGGCTCGGCAATGAGCCAGGTCCAGGCGCTGGTGAGCTGGAGGGAAGTGGCAGTGGTGGGGTGGGGGGTAGTTCGGTTCTGGAGGTGTTTGCGAGGGACGGACAGCCAATCAGGAGGTGGTGGTGAGGAATCAGTGCGGATGCCGAGTGCCGGCTGGGTTGGGCGCACCTGTACCCGGCCACACGCTGCCTTTGCCTCCAGGGGACAGCAGCCCAGACGGGGTCAGAGAACTACCACCACCGAGGGTTCAACTCTACGGCTTTATTGCAACTCATGACAGCGAGCCCGGCCCCAGAGCAAGTGCCTGCATTGCGGACAGACTGACAACTGCGAGGAAGCCTGCCGCTCCTCCCTGCAGCTTTGTCTCAG